TTTTTTTTTTTTTTTTTGGTAAATGCTTTAAGTTCTATCTTATGTTTCTCATGCTGGAATTAACTTGAATTACAAATAATATTTTTCAATTTTTTTTCTTCAGCTTCTCATAAAAAAAGTTATTAAGGTCAGTGGCACTTTTGGCCTAAGTATGTAAATTAAACAAAATTGGATATTTTAGTCATATTATACATAATAGAGCTAAAATAGTCTTATTTCAAAATCATGAAACAATCAAGCATATCACTAATAACATGTAAGACATTAGTCGTGGGCCGGCTGTGGTCCCACAGCCATTACCTTTCTAGTAACTTTTATAAATAATAATAATTACATTATATGACTGTAAATTTTATAATAAAATAACAATTGAGTATTATATGGTGAACAAAAATTATTAATTTTTTTTCCTATTCAATGAATAAATATGTATTCTAAAATCAAATAAATATTAGTATGACGTGTTAGCGGAATTATATATTAATTAACATGTTAATTTTTGGCTTAAATAAACGCCACTTATTAAAAGATGTAAAATATGGATGATCCAAGCCTATTGTTTTTTTGTCTAGACGTACAAGTCCTATAGAAATAATTGATTTATTATATATATCACGTGCATCGCACGGGGTATGCACTAATAAATGACCTTAAAATTGTGCACCTCGTGCATCACCCGTGTTCACATTTTGGCATATTACAGGTCACGTACTATATATATCCCGTACATTTTTTTTATTCATTTATATAATTATAAGAATGGATAAATGACCTTAAAATTGTGCACCCCGTGCATCGCACGGGCTCTGTACTAGTAATTATGTAATAAAGTGCACATTAAAAATACCATCATATATATATATATATATATATATATATATATATATATATATAGTGCATCTCGATTCTCATTAATGTGCAATTCGTTTAATAATATTGTGCACCTGCACCACAAACATTTTTATTGATTTGTTACAAAATAAACTAAAGTTTATTCAAAATATTTGGTTTATTCGATCCGTTAGCCAATTACTTTTTATAGTGCAATATGACAATCGGTAACGTGCAATCTCTCTACACAAAAGTGCACTCGAAGTGCAAATACTTTTTATAACAATATATTTAGTATTTACAATTTTCATTTTATATTATTAGTTGTTCAAACTAAATAATATATAAAGGTAAAATATAAATATAATATTTTTATATAGTTTGGTCGGTTGGTTGTTGTTGTTGTTGTTGTTGTTATTATTATTATTATTATTATTATTATTATTATTATTATTATTATTAAAGCCAAAAAATAATATATTGTTATAAAAATCCAAAACCCGACCGAAAGGGCTGAGATCAAAGAGAAATAACCGCGATTTTAATAGTAGATACATATAATCGAAACGGATACAATATTTTGAACCGAAAACTTAGTTCGTTGGGAGTTGGTCGATATTTGTGCAATCTTATAATCATTAATGTGCAACTCGTACTACAGTAATGTGCAATCGTATTGCATTCTTTTTTAATGACATCCAAAATAAATTAAAACGTAACTGAATTAATCAAATTATTTATGCAGTAAAAAACACATTTAGTATTTATAATTTTTGTATTTTATTTTATTAACTTAATTAACGGGTGCATTTGTTATGCTAAAGTGCAATCTCTCTAATTCAAAAGTGCAACCCATTAGTCAACAATGTGCAATATGTCCAATAAAATTTTAACATTTTTTATTATTTTTATTTAATATTGTATATTGTTTTGGAAATGATAAAATTTATGTATGTATAAAAATATTTAAAAATTAATAATGGTGTAATATCGGTTGAATTAATAATAGAATAGTAGGTCTACAATAGTTTTTTTCTTTTTGTTTTTTTCACAACTAATTCATTTACTTTTCACTTTTATACAAAAAAAGGAAAAAAAATCGATATTACAATTCAATTCCTGCAAATAATCTAATTCTCATATGAAAAAACCCCAATCCCAAATTGACTTCAGCAAGTTTCCGGCGGCGAAATTCCGAGCACGGCTGGGTGGCGACGATGAGGGGTGATTTACGCTGCAATGACAGGAGATGGTCGTCGAGCTCCTGCTCGGATTCCACCACACGCTGCCGCCTCTGTGCGAGCGGGCTCCGCAATCCTTGAAGATGTTGTCACTGCTAGGGGGTGATGATGGCGGACACGACGGGACTGGCGCGACGTCGACTGGTTTAGCGGTTGCAACCTCGGCGGGTTTAGCGGCGGCGACCTCGGCGGGTTTAGCGGCGACAACCTCAACGGGCTTAGCGGCAACAACGGCGGCGGTTTCACGGATGGGGAAGTCGATTAGATATGGTTCCAGCGGAGGCGGGACGACGGCGCCGTCGTGGATGTCCGACGGAATTACTATGCGTGTGACTGTGTGTGTTGAGTCGTCGGGGGATCTCCGGTGAGTGCAAGTGTGACGGTGTGTGGTTGTGTTTGTTGAGTGTGTGTGTGTGTGTGTGTGTGTGTGTGTGTGTGTGAGAGAGAGAGAGAGAGAGAGAGAGAGAGAGAGAGAGAGAGAGAG